TGCTGGGGGGCGAGTTCTCACTTTTCCTCTCACTGTCTCTCTTCATCTCTCTGGCAAGCGCACACGCCCTATAACAAAAACCTAAAAAAATAAATAAATAAAAGAAAAGTGTTATCATTCTCTGGTCAAAATTGCTCTGAGCATATTGGAAGAGTACTTCTTATTTAATGCAATGAACAATGAAGGGTCTTGAAATCCCTTAAACTGGAGGATTTTTTTTTTAATAGGTTTTTGCTATAGGGCACGTGTACTCTCCAGAAAGACAGAGAGAGACAGAGAGACAGAAAGTGAGACATCACCCCCCAGGGGGGATGGCCACGCTGCAATCCCTTCTCCTCCATTCTCCTCTCGGGATCTTGGGCTCACATGCACACATGCCCGGCATGAGTTTAAGCCACCGGGTCAGCACTCAAACCACGGTCAACTACATGGGAGTCCAGCGACATAGCCATTACGCCAACTGCTGGTCCCAAGGATTCTATCCTACGTTATTTTGAAAACTCTTCAATTTCGGTATCTTGGGCAAAGGCACTTAATGTCCTATCTGTTGTGTTTTACAATTCTAATGTATTCTTTTTTCCATTTCTCTAGAATGTTCCAGAAGTTCAAAGATTGGTTCTGGCTAGAAAGATTCTGGCTTCCTCCAACGATACAGTGGTCCGATCTGGAAGACCACGATGGACTCGTCTATGTAAAACCTTCGCATTTATATATGACAATTCCATGTGCTTTCTTCTTGCTGATTGTCAGATATTTCTTTGAAAAGTAAGTAGTATGTGTGTGTCCTTCCTTCCATCCCCCTCCTCTGCTCGAACTCAAGAATAATCAAGTCTTAGACTGAACGAGATGGATAAAGAGTTTTGTCTAGGGGCCGGCAGGTGGCGTGGTGGTTAAGGGCGCTGGACTCCCACATGACTGACCACCGTTCGAGTCCCAGACCCGGCGGCTTGCTTTCTCACTTTCCCTCTCTCTTCCCCTCTGTCTCTCTCTGGTCAAATTAAAATAAATAAAGATAATTTTTTTAAGGGATCTTGTCGAGGGAACCAGCAGTTAGTGTAATGGCTATGTCACTGGACTCCCATGTAGTCAACCACGGTTCGCGTCCCGGACCCAGTGGCTTAAAACTCACGCCGGGCGTATGTGCGTGTGTGCCCAAGATCCCGAGAGGAGAATGGAGGAGAAGGGATTGTGGCGTGACCATCCCCCCTGGGGGGTGATTTCTTGCTTTCTGTCTCTCTGTCTCTCTCTCTGTCTGGCGAGCATACACGCCCTATAGCAAAAAAATCTCTCCAACAAAAAAAAAAAAGAATCTTGTCTAGAGAGGTTATCACTATAGATTCTGGGGAGAATTCAGGAGCTCGGAGGCACACCAAACAAGACTTAGGAGCTGAACAAGAAAAAGAGAATTGGTTCCCATCTAGGGCTTTAGTTTTATAGCGAACACAATTAAGGTTAAGCGAGGTTAAGGATCAAGACCTTCTTAGTGTCAATGACAGCATGAGAACTCATTTCTCTCCCACTTTACCGTCTGACAATCCAAATGCACTCCCAGAAAGGCAGTGTTTGTCTCCTTCAGAGCGTCTGCATTATCATTCTAGAATGTCTATCAACTAGCAAGATAGCTCATTACAGACCTAACCAAATGCTGTTGTATTGCAGAATTTACTGTAAAAGTTTACTTGAAGGTTTAATCGCTACCCTTCTTCCAAAGCATATGAAAGTCAAAGGAATACAATCTAGCCATATGCTTTCTCAGAAAAAAAGTGACTATCTTTTCTTTTTATTTTCTGGGGTTTAATTGGAATCGTTACTGCTTCCAGTTTCTCTATTAAATTCGCATCATGTTATGATAATGAGAGAGAGAGATTCATCTATAATCCCTGTGGTTGTCTCTAGTTAAAAAAAAAAACTGTTATTAGCACATTAATTCATTTGGAACAAAAAACATATACATATTTGAATGTCAAGAGTTGGAAGCACATAAGACAAAGCTTGATAAAGATCATTTTTGTCCAAGACTAACTATAATGCAGATCATATGTGTATAACCCTTTGCAGGGTCCTTATCTTGAGAGTTCGTTTGATTGACTTTTTCGTGAACTTTCCAAAAGGTTTCTGAAGAAATAAGAAGTTCACTTGGGCCAACGGTGCGCTATTGCTTTTTGGGAGGATGAGAAAGACCCTGGATCCCACTAAGTCTTAGCTGAGAACATTTGAAAATGCACTTCCTTTTTAACAGTGAATTCTACTTTTTTTTCTCCTCAGGTTTTATTTATGTATGTGTGTATTTATTTATTTTTGAGATGTTTTTGCCTTAGGGCACATACGCTTGGTTGGGGGGAGAGAGAGACATAGCTAATGAGAAGGAAAGTGAGAAATCATCCCTTAGGGGGGATGGCCACTGCAATCCCTGCTCCTCCATTCTCCTCCTGGAATCTTGGGCATGCACGCACATGCACCTGGCATGATTTTCAAGCCATCGGGTCCGGGACTTGAAGTGTGGTTGGCCATGTGGGAGTCTAGCAATGTAACCGCTAAACCAACTGCTGGTCGCTGTATTTATTTTTATAATGCAAAAATAGCAGAACATTTTTCCCCCCCAGATAAATTTACATGTCTTTATTTGTTAAATGTTTCTTCTCTTTACCCCTCCCACCAAGTCCCTTCCCATACAGTCATTGGTATCTAGAGTTATTCTCTCTACTGTTATTTCTTCAGACCTTTTCATTTCTGCCATAGAGCACAGGCATTCGGTAAATACAGAGTGGGGATATACAGTGTGTGTCTTCCAAAGTCTGGCTCACTTCCGTCAATATCAAGTTCTCTGTATTCAACCACTTTGATCAAATGACAGTGTCTCATGGTTTCTATGGCTCAGTATATGTATATATGCCACAGTTTTTGAACCCAGTCGTCAGTTTTTGGACGCTTAGGCTGATTCCATGTTTTAGCAATTGTGAATAACGCTGCAGTAAACATAGATGTGTGAGTGTCTTTCCAACGGAGTGTTTTCCTGTCCTTTGGGTAGATACCAAGGAGTGGGATTACTGGGTCGTACGGTAGTTTTAGTTGCAGGTTTTTGAGGAGCCTCCGGATTGTTTTCCACAGAGGTTGAACTAATTGCCATTCCCACCAACAGTAAATTCTACCCATTTACTCACATGCTGCAATTTGTCAGAGAAGCTGTAAAGAAACCAAATGGAAAATTCGCCACTGCCCTTCACAATCAGCAAATTTTCCTTCCCTATCCTGAGCTATTCGCTCTCCTTGTGCTGTACCTGAAGATGCATTCGATTCTGGCCTCCCAATCCATGACTCGTTTCCAGTGTACGTTTCCTGCTTTTCGGTTGTCAGCTGCATTTTTCACAGTCCGGCCAGGATGGTGAGCCAGAACATTCTTTTGGTTGCCAGAGCAGCAGAGTTACGAAGGGCCAACTTACTCTGTCTGGGCCTTGGCGTCTCCAACAGCAATTAGGAAGGAATCTAATCCTCTTTTAATTCCTGGGGCCAGTCTTGAGTCTTCTCAAGGGATTAGGTATATTCTATTTCTTCTTTTCTATCACCTTATAACTTTCGTTCCCTGTTACTCACTCTCAGCTTTTTCCATTGGAAGACACTATGCAAAAAAAAAAAAAAAAAAAAAAGAACTATGTATTCATACACTCGTCTCATATATTTTTCTTTTTTTTATATTTTTACTTTTTTTGTGGTGTGTGTCTATGTGAGTATACATGCACGTGTGTAGATTTTTTTAGACGGGAGCTTGCTGTGTTATGATCTTCTGCCTTAGTCCCCTGAATAGCTGGGACTACATGCACAAACCACCATGCCTGGTTTTTTTAGGGTGTGCTAGGATTGAACTCTGGATCCCAGGTGGCCTCGCCTGAAAAGTGGAAGTGTCTGGAATACCCTACCAAGGTTGGGCCTCAGATGTGTGTTGTGTTGTGTTTTGTTTTGTTTTGTTTTGTCAGAGAGCATTTGCACTCGCACCAGAGAGAGCCAGGGCAGGGTAGGAGGTGTAAGAAAGCACTCCCCATGGGCAATGGTCATGCCACAATCTTCCTTCTCCTCCATCTCTCCCTGCTTTAGGGATTTGGGGCATGCACACACACACACACACACACACACACACACACCCAGCATGCCTCTCAAGCCACCAGATCTGGGACACAAACTACATAGTCCACGATGTGGGATCCAGCCACCTTAACCACCAGGTCCTCACATGTCTTTAACACAATAGGAGAAAGGAAAAAAAAAAGTTTTTTTTTTTGGAGAGATTTTTGCTTTAGGGTGCATGCGCTCTCCAGAAAGACAGAGAGAGACAGAGAGACAGAAAGCGAGAAATCACCTCCCGGGGGGGATGGCCATGCCACAATCCCTTCTCCTCCATTCTCCTCTCGGGATCTTGGGCACGCACGCAAACGCGCCCGGCGTGAGTTTTAAGCCACCGAGTCCGGGACGCAAACCGCAGTCGACTACATGGGAGTCTAGCGACATAGCCATTATGCCAACTGCTGGTCCCTCTTCTATTTTAAAATATTATTTATTTAAAGGCCACAGTATTCACAGAGGACTTATATTTTATCTGAGACCAGCTTTGCTTTAGATAATTTTTTTTTCTTGGATATAAAATCTTTGAAAAGCTCTGCTCACTGGAGCTCTGTATCCCTAGGCACTGGGACACAATCTTAAGGCCTTAGGCTATTAAATCTATTTAAGAGGAGTACTCCAGCTTGGTGCTTCCTATCTGCCTGTATCTGCATTTCTTTTATTCTATAAAAGAACACTGAATGTACAAGGGGAGTGTCTAGAGTTTCTAGGCTTTGGGCTCTAAATGCTAAATGGGGTGTTGGAGGAGGCGGGGCGTCTGGGTATCTGACTGGGGCTCTCTGAAATTCCAGGTTCGCATCAGTGTCATGCCTACGGGACTCATTCCCTGGTAATGAAACTAACTTGGAACCATTGCCTTGGGAGCAGAAGTTCATCACCCTTTTTATCCTCCTCTTTCTTTTTCTAGTCCAGATCAATAAAGTGAGAGTTTAGGCGCAATAATTGCTAAGGTTCCTTTAGAGCTAAGACCTATCATTTTTCTTTTCTTTGCAGTTCAGTTTATCACACATTTATCATGCTTCTGTTTTTCTTTTTCTTTTTTTGGAGAGTTTTTTCCTATAGGGCGCATGCACTCACCAGAAAGACAGAGGGAGACAGAGAGACAGAAAGCGAGAAATCACCCCCCAGGGGGGCTGGCCATGCTGCAATCCCTTCTCCTCCATTCTCCTCTCAGGATCTTGGGCACGCACGCACACGCGCCCGGTGTGAGTTTAAGCCACCAAGTCCGGGACTCCAACCACAGTCGGCTACGTGGGAGTCCAGTGACATAGCCATTACACCAACTGCTGGTTGTGAGATACGTTATGTTTTATTTGGCTTTGAGATCCATTTTATTCCCATACTGCATACTTACACTGCATCTTTTTTCTCTCTTAATTTCTTTTTTTTTTGGGGGGGGCAGTGTGTGTGCACTTGCCGGAGAGAGACAGAGACAGACACAGAGAGAGGGAAAGTGAGAAATCACCCCCCAGGAGGGATGGCCACACC